ACAGTGTAGTGCATAGATCATATGGTGAACATCACTTGGTAGTTTGAAAAGCAAGATCATATGGTGAACATCATTTGGTAGCTTGGAAAGCAAGATTATATGGTGAACATCACTTGATAGTTTGGAAAGCAAGATCATATGGTGAACATCATTTGGTAGTTTGGAAAGCAAGATCATATGGTGAACATCATTTGGTAGTTTGGAAAGCAAGATCATATGGTGAACATCACTTGGTAGCTTGGAAAGTAAGATCATATGGTGAACATCCCAAACTACCAAATGATGTTCATCATATGATCTTGCTTTCCAAGCTACCAAATGATGTTCACCATATGATCTTGCTTTCCAAACTACCAAATAAAGCAAGGATTGCCACCTCTCTTCCATCATGATTCCAAAGTCTGTGACTATCCTTGCTCTCTTTATCAAGTTTGATTAAAATGTTGTTGATGGCAGTTCTTTGGATCATTGAGCTGTGTCTCACCTCTAGATTCAGTGCTCCTCTATCTGACTCTTTCTGAACAACACAATAAGTACTCACAGCCCTTTTGTACTCATCTTCGGGGCTGGAGTGAGATAAAATAGATGTTTTGTCCCCATCTGATTTGACTGTCACCTCTTCTGATTAATTTGAGCTTCATAGGCCACATATGGATGCGAGTGGTTGATATGTCTTGTGTGCTTTCATGCCCTCTTTATTATTATAACTCGTACATTAATGGATCAATTTCTTATAGCACAAAACACAAGATGAAGTCTTGTTCAGCTGTAGCAAAGAGGGCACATACAAAGCCACACCCAGACTTTACTTTGATCCATTAATTCGTGCACTGTCATATCATTAACACCTCTTCTGTTGTGTGGTGGCTTTTCTAAACTATTGATGTGCAACCCATGTACTAAAACTAATGTAGATCTTAAGCACTTCACATATTCTTGTGGACACTGTGGGTATAGAACCATACATAATGTCTACAGGGAATAACATGTGTCAGCTAAACATCAACATTTTTGGTGAACAACCTATTTATCTCTGTTCAGTTATGCAGTTCACCATCATGATGTTGGGTAAATGTTCATCCCAGTTGATTCAGTTGGCATTAACAAAACTTGCAAGAATACCTTTGACAGTCTGTATTACCCATTTCATTAAACCATCAGACTGAGGATGGTAAAGTGAATTGCACATCTAAACCACACTCAACATCTTACAGAACTCAGAGAACAGTTAGCTATTAATTGAAATAGTTAATGACTATGAGTATATATAGATAACCTTGTTCCATCTTTGGAAGAAACAGCAATATGTAGGACTATTCTCTGCAAACGAGTTATTTGCTGAAGTTACCCAGTTAACTTTGTCATTTTTTCTGTGTGGTATACACTTTACAGTGTTCACCAGTACTGAATGTTTTAACACAAATGTGGTTAGAAGAATGCTGTCAAATGTGACCACAAGTGCATGTTACATCTGAGTCACATCCAGTTTTTGTGTTATTCAAAGTTTAGTGAATCTCCTGCCTCAAACCTCTGTAACTCAGGCTCAAAACCACTGCTCAGTGGTTATCTTCCCATACTTATAACTACTCATACAAGTTCCATAGATTACTTGCATCCATGCTACATTCCTCAATCTGAGCCTGCCATACTATTCTTTGCTGCATGGACAAAAGTGCCTACACTAGATTGGAGTCCTATATTTGCTTTTATCGAAGATTCTGAAGTGTTAATTGTGATATTCATCTACTCCCGTGTTATAGCTTGTTGTAGCTATTGCACAAATTAACAGACATTTTCATGGTTTCAGTTTCAAATCTACCTTTTTCGTTCATGGAATGCCATTTTCAGACTCTCAGCCACAGCCTCAGATGTTAACAAATACTAAGATGTAGTTGACATAAATCAAGCTATTAATTAATTAAGCTATTGAAAGTCATAGGTGTATTACACAAGTTGAATGGCTTGACGCAAATTTCAGACGAGTTAATTCTCATGATGAAAGCAGTCTTATGTCTACTCTTGTCATGCAGCTCATCTTGCCAGTATCTAGATGCCAGGTCTAATGTATTGAATCAATGGGTTCCTTTCATTGCATCCAGACATTCCTTTTTCCATGGTAGTGAAAAGGCATCAACACACTGTACCATGTTCTCCTGCCTAAAATCAATGTACATCATGGTCATACTATCCAAAACTACAGACTTCTTATTTTCTTGTTACTAATTGGAAGTTACCATTTTGTATTACTTCATATCAGAAACTGCCTCAGTATGAGTGAGGCATCTGACACCTAGGTGATGCTGCATTATCTCATTGGATAGTCCTTACACAATCGTGTCACGAGTCATCTGTGTAAGCAGTCAAGCTCTCCATGGTTCCCTTCTTCAGTGCATTGAATTTGGTCTGATGGATTGCTCTCTTTTCAACTGAGTCAAGCCTGTGGAACAACTCAGTGATGACTGTCTCGAAGCCATACAGTTATTCCTCATCTAAATACTCAGTAGGGTCTAGGGGCTGGATTGGCTAAACTTTCGACTAGGCATTGTACAGCCTGTTCCATAACCCTACTATTCCAGGCAATTACTTGTTTGAAAAGCTTCAGAAATGGTCCATATCCTCTTTTGCTATACCCTTGAATATCTGAGATGTGATCTTTTTTCCCTCACTCATGATCAGATACTATCCTCCATGACTTCTTGACCATAAACTGTGTCATGTACTAAACATTGTAGTCACAACAAAGGGCCTGACAAGTGTTAGGCCCCTGCTCTAGGGTGCAAATCAATTAAGAGTACTTGGCAGCTCATTTATTAGCTTCGCACAACCCCTAGCTTCTTCAAGACCCATAGCTTTCTGGGCAGTATACCTCCTAGCATGGAAAGGCTCATCACTGCTCCATGGTCCATTCACTTTACCACTCAATGTCACCTTCTGGTGAAATAGCTTCTATGTTCTTGGGCAACTTCGACCACAGCTGGTATGGACTTCCCCTTGACCCAACATCTCTCTTGGATAACCACCTGCTCTCAGTTACTAACTCTCCCTCTTGACCACATATCCTTCAAGTTGTGCAAAATCTTAGTTCCTTTAAGAAGCATTTATAAACTTAAAGGTCCTAGGTCAAGCAAATAGTAATACACACTTTAGTAAAAATATCAAACCCTGTAATACAATTTCATAGTCATAGCACCCAAATATTCTCCCTCCTTTCCAATCTGTGTTATATCTTGGTAAAACTGAGTTAACTTTATGGCAAGAGGTTAGGTCCACTTAATAAAAAGAAGATTCATTCAAGATAATGATTGCAAAGTAATGCTTCATCTCTGAGTAGCTGAGTCATGAAAGTGAAAGAAATAAAGAAACTGGACAAAAAGTGAAAAACGAAATAAATGATCTTTATTATATCACCCATAAAACACAAACAGTGTGTGCAATTGCTTTTGATGTGTTACAATTGCTTTTACTGGATCTTCTATATTTATCCAGCTGCTCCAAATACCAGACTTACTAAATCCAACATTCCTTACTTCACAAGAAACACTTTATTTATCCAGAATGACTAGCGCTACCCACATTTTTGGTCCTTCTCATTGCAACTAAGTGAGACCATAATCTGTTGACATCCTTGTACAAGGTACAGTTTTGAATCATACTGATCATGGGCAAAACAAGTATTATCTACTCAAGAATAACAAAGGAGCAAAGACAGCAAGAACAAAATGATCTTATAAGCTTTCTTAATCACATGTTACGTGAAACTGCAAATAAACAGAACAAAGAATAAATTCAGAATAAATAATATAACAAGAAGATAGAAATATATAGTATATTCATCTACCACATCTGCATTTATTAATTATACCTTTTTTATGCATAAAAATATAACATGTTTAGATATGTAGCTGAAATTGCAATGTCAAAATTAAAGTGTTTAAATTAATAGGCTTAAAATTTGATAAAAATCACATTAAATGCAGATGTTTTTTTTTCATATTCCTTTTAATTTGTCCAGTTCCAATTCAAAATCTCAATGGATAAATTAAGAGGAGTGTGGGAAATAAAACATCCTGCAGTTAGCATGATTTTTATCACAGGTTTAAAGCTTATTTGATTGTAATGCTTCCACCCACTTTTGAACATTGGAACCATAACTTTTTCAATATCTAAATTGACTGTATGTGAATGGCCATTGAATTATTCCTTCTATGTGTTGATCAAAGTGAAAAACTAAAACATTAGCCTGAGCATTCAGTTTTGTGCATACTTTTATCAAGCTATGGACCATAAAGGAGTCACTTTATAAAGGTGCTGGAAAGATGTCTTTTTCAAGAAACGTTTAAGTTGGAGTATTGTTTTAAACGTTTTTTCAATGAAGATGACAAACAGTAGATAAATGTTTTGTAACCTGTGACTAGATCCTTGATAAAAGCATAAGTCAAAATGTCAGGTAGAATAAATAAACATCTATCTGATTTAAAAAGTTATAAAAAACTGTTTTAAACGTATTGTTTGTGTGAGAAATTCAAGCATTTGGTTGTTTTTATTGATAAGGGATGGTCTGCTTTTTCACTATACTTTTCTTTGCATATGTTGCATTCTTGCTGCTGGATAAATTTGTATATTTTCTTTGGTAAAGCAACTGGTTTTAGAGCAATCTATATGTTTGAGAGCTTTTCTAATTGGTTCTGGAAGTACAATAACTCAAGTAGGTAAACCAGATCTCTCTGTTTATTACGTAATCTTACTTATGAATGTTCACTTTGTTTGTGTGGTAGGTAGTGAGTGTGCTTTAAAAGAGGCTACCTGTTCAGATCATGATTATCTTGATTTATTTGTCATCTGTTGATATTCTCTGTTCCATTGAAATCTGAATCAGTATTAGCTTTAGGTATACTCATGCCTGGAAATGTAATCAACTATACAATAAGATATTGCCTGTTAACATACTGAATTGTTTGGCAAATTGATTTTCAGTTACTATTTATATACTTTTTTTACAGAGAATTGCTGAGACACATGACCATCCTGACTCTTGGATAGATTATGGAGTCTTTTGCCTTCTTCAAAACCAGATTGATAAGGTAAGCATGTGTCTTTTGTAACACACATAGGACTCTAGAACTGAGTCATTGTTTTTGGCATTTAATATTTGCATAGAGAATCCTTTTTTACATCAGCAGTGACAATTCTGTCCAAAAATGGTTCACATGCACTATGCACCAGAAGAGACGAAGCAACATTCACATGTTGGAAACGATGATACTCGGAGAGTTCGTGAGGCACCCAAACACCTTCTTTATGGAGTTTT